ACGGGCGAATAATGCCTAAGTCTAGCATGTGCTCGAATTCGGAGCGTGCAATTTTGAGCTTGTCGGGGGTCATGCGCCTGGCTTTTGCGAACACAGGCGGACCTTTCGTAACGATGTGATGTGTCGCGGCGTCGGTTGCGGAAGGCAACGGGACGGCAGGACGGAAGGCCTGCGGAAAACTATCGAGCAGCGTTTGCCCGACGGGGAAGTAAGTTGAGTCGCGTACACGGGACTGATTGACGCGGTGTCGGTCAAAGTCCCAATGACTGCGAGATTCGTAAGGCGGTCGACTAGACGGTGTCGCTTAACGTCGACGAGTAGGTCGTAATGACGTAAGAAGTCGAGACCGAGGATAGGCGTTTGAACATCCGCAACGAGGAATATCCATTTGAAAGCGCGTCGGAGGCTGAGATTTAGCGTGCGCGAGCGTTGACCATATACGCGGATAATGGTCCCGTTAGCTGCGCGCAATGAGCTAGTCACCTTTTCGGTCGGGTCGTTTGGATCACGCGGGAGAACGCTGACTTCTGCGCCAGTATCGACGAGATAGCGAACTCCGGTTCTACGATCGGTGACGAAGAAAAGGCGACTGCGTTGACCAGCTACGTCCGTCGCCCCTACGTGCTGGTCCGCCCGTTTCCCTGCTGCTGTCGTTTGAAGGAACAGGGCGGGCGACATGATTTAGCTTGCTGGCCGAATCGTTCGTGGTACCAGCAGTAACCGTTTCTATTCGGTGATCGCGAAGGAGAGTTCGAACGTGAACGCGAACGGCTCCTAGAGCATTTACAGCGGTTATGTCCGGAGGCCGAAAAGTCTGCGAATTGTCGAGTCAATGTTGCCATCTGGGATTTAAGCGTGGCGATATCGTTGTCCGGTTTCGTCTGGACCTGCGAAACCTGGCCGTACGACTCCCAAATTCGGTCGGCTGTATCGGCCAGTTTGGATAAAGGTGCATCCTCACTAGCGCAGAGGATGTGTAGCATCTCGCGCGGAAGTCGTTGCAACCACATTTCCCGAAGAAAAGAATCATCTATCGAAGTGGGTTTAGCTAGGCTCTGCATTTTTCGAAGCAGCTGAGATGGCTTAAGATCGCCAAGATCGGTTTCGTTGAGGAGTTTCGTAACTCGTTGTCGATCGGATAAGCCTGTTCTTCTCAGAACAGCTGTCTTGACTGCATCGTAAGTCTTTTGGTCGTCAGGAAGATCTAGAATGTCATCAATGTCATCGATGACATTTAGCGGAAGCGCGGAAACGACAAGGTGGAACTTGGTCTTTTCGGACCTAATACCACGCAAAGAAAATTGCGACTCTAGCTGACCAAACCAAGACTTAGGATTAGTCTCGCGAAAAGGTGCGATAGGAAGCGTAACTGTGCCGATCTGAACGTCAGAATCTACGCGATCAGTTTCCATAGCGAGCAAAATAGCGAGCCAGCAAGATTAAACCGGAAAATGAAAAGTGAAAATCAGACGGGTTAGCGAAAAAATGTGGCCAAATCTGAAAAGAAAGGTTAGCGAAAACTCACCGGATAATGACCAAAAGTCGGGGTCACCAATAAAGCGCGAAGCGGGATCGGTACGCTTTAAAACCAATACGCGAAAATAAGGCCAACCTCCGGTGAGTGGAGAACACCAAAGGTAACGCTAGGAAAAATTTATTAAGTGGGCGAAAGGCTATCTAGTGCTAAAAATAAGGCACCGAAAGATAGCTAGCTAGGGAAAGGTGTGGTCGCGTGCGCGGAGAGCAAAGATGGCGAGACCGTGCTCCACAACGGTCGGTGATCAGCTGGCGACTGGGAGGTTGCGGTGGCGGACAACAAGCCACTTTGCCTTGGTGAAGGAAAAGGGAAGATTACATTGTGATGGAAGAGCTATTAATGTGGAGAAAAATGCCATGGGTTGTAACGCGGACCTAGGTTGATATGAGTATGATGATAGTTTGAATGCACCGTAAAGTGCGTTGGCGGATTCAGTCGCTGTCATGGCTGTCGACGATGTTGAGCAGTTCGAAAGTGACTTAAAGCGCTTTCAAATGCGTACTGCGTCATGTTTTTACAAATCGGATGTCCTGACATCGGTTAGTTATAAGAGGAAAACCGGAAAGAGTTGCCTGAGGGTGTGCGATACAAATCCGTACACTATAAATGCGTGCATTGTACACGAAGAGGATACACATGCCAGCGGTAAGTTCACATGTAATGTATGTGAGACGCTTATTAACTTTAGGTACAAAAGTTACGACTGCAAGGCACATATAGCCGTACGGCATAACGGCTGGTGCTACGACATAGTATCCTACAGCCTTCTGCACAGCCACAATTTCCATGTAGGTAAGCCGTTTCTGTATGTCAGCAACAGACGGCTCCCGCGGCACGCGGAAGAGGACATCTATCGCATGATGCAGTCTTTCAAGGACACACGCGAGCTCCGGAGGTATGCGTTGAAGCACTACGGTAGAAGGTTGAACCGTTATGACCTCCGGACCATAAGAGATAAGATGAAGGGAAAGGTAGAGGGAAACTCGGTTAACGCTGTTATACAATTGCTGGAGACCGCCGGTCAATGTAATGTAGAGTATGAGGAGTCCGAGGTACGCTACATCTTTTTTGTTCCCAGGTACGTACGTGACCTTGTGGAGCTTTATACGGAGGTATTGCTGGCAGACGCGACGCACCAGATGAACTGCGGTGGCTACATACTGTGGCACTGCATGTTGGTAGATTTGCATGGTATTGGGCGTTCCATTTTCTACGCCTTGCTTCCTAATGAGACAACGGCAGCGTACATGAACGCCGTGCGCAACATGCGGCTGATGTTACCAGCGACTGAGGCAGCACGGACGGTGGTGATTGATAAGTGCATGGCCCAGATGCATGCATTCCAAGTAGTGTACCCCTGCACGCGGATTGTATTGTGCCGTTTCCACCTACTGAAGGATGTCACCCGTCGTTGCAACGGGTTATCCACAAAAAGTGCAACGGACAGGTTGGTTATTAAGCAGTCCGTACGGAACTTAGTGTACGCTAGGACCTATCGGCTGTTCGTCAGGTATTTGACAGCCATTAAAGAGCGAAACGCCGACGCGCATAGATACTTAGTACGAACGTGGTTGCCATTTGTCTCATCATGGGCGGCTCACCGTTTGACGTCCACCTGTTTGTTCGGTTGTTTCACAACGAACCGCGTGGAGAACGAAAATAGGCATTTGAAGAGTGGTCTTTCGGAGCGGACCTCTTTATTAGACCTGTTTACCGCGGTTGTTAACCGCGTGATGGATGCTCCAGCTCAGTGGGAAGATATCATGGGTAAAACCGATTTGTCGGAGCATCCCATGGACTCTTGCTTGCATAGCCTAGGGCAGGCAGCGTTACAGTTTTCAGGGTATGCAAGAACGCGCCTGCGGTGCCATCACACTAGGGAGAAGGTGACAGTGACGGAGTTGTCCGATGATACATGTGGAGTGCAAGGGACCCGTAGAAGGTACACCGTGTTAATGGGTGAGGAGGTAACCTGCCAATGCAGCTTCAGCCGGCAATGGCTGCTGCCGTGTGCACACATTGTGCATGCATTGCACGCTGCAGGCAGACCGGTGGACGAGGTATTGCGTAACAACCGGTGGGTTGTGTCACACGCGCAACAACCGCGTGTTACCGCATCCACGTCCTCCGACGTCGTCCCCCTAGCGTCTAGCTCCACTGTTGCACCTGTAAGTAGGGAACAGAAGCTTCGGGAATGTAGCCAGGTACTGGGTGATATTCAGGTGCAAGTGTGCAGCCTCGGCGACACAAAGTACAGAGAGGTTATGGATCAGTTGCGGGAATTCCTACGGAATCTTAGCAGCCCTCAGGAGGAGGTTGTGGTTTCATCCAACGCAAACGTGATGCACTCAGGTGCGGAAGGGACGAGTGAAGGTACCAGTGAAGGCACAAGGCGTAAGCAACGTTTAGTTCCAATTCCAGAGTCGTCAGCTAGTCAGGAGCATGAAAGGAAGACACTTCGTTTTCGCGACTTGCACACGAAAACCGGTAAGGTGTATAGGCCTCCAAGGAAGCGTCGCAGCCATGCACCACTCCCAGCCAACTACGACAATGACAAGTGCGCTTCGTGCCTCCAAACTGACTGCGAGGCACAGAGTGGACAGGTGGTTGACTGGGTCATGTGCTGCGATTGCCGCCTTTGGTTTCATCAGGTATGCGTCTCGTACGCTGGACAGGAGCACTTCACTTGCCATCGGTGTATGTAAGTCCTTCTTTTTCATATCGCTACCTTTTTCTTTCATTCATAACCGTGCTATGCATTGCTTCCGCTTGATCGTTAGGTACACCCACTGCTCCCATATGCGGTGCCTCCCCTACATGACGTTTACGTCACGGGATCACACATACTGGGGGTGGTCAGGTGTGCCTACGGACATCAGAAGCACCCACAATTCCGCTGCCTTTTTAGGATGCACATTCACTTATCAGTGC